CCCCAGCAGGACTTGAAAAGGGATCCCAGCCCTTCTAGCCTAGCAAGGCCCTCCCACCACAACCTGCCACATAGATGTGGGTAAGGGGCTTGGTATGCAGGAAAGAGCTCTGGCATAGAGGCAAACAGGACACCAAGGCCCGCAGGGGAAGGCTGGACGTCACTTACGCCCTCGGTGCCTGCATTTCTCCATTACAGATGCTGGATATGGCTCCGTAGATGCCCTAAAGTCCTGCTGTTTTAAGATCCTATGATTTTCCTAAAGTATCTAATTCTCCAGTCTAAATGGCCTGCCTTCAAAACAGCTCCTTCCTCACTCACTGGTACCTGACATAGCCCTGAAAACTTGACAAACTCTTTAGGGGACTTCTTGATGGTCCAGTGCTTAAAACTCCACACTCCCCATGAAGTGTTTGATCCCTGGTCAGGGAACCAAGATCCCACATGCTGCCTCGCCCTGGCCAAAAAAAGAAAGAAAGAAACTGTATATACATGTTATCCTTGACCTTCAAAACAACCATCTGACATAGTTATTTCTGTTCCTGCCCAAAGTCACATGATAGGTTAACAGCAGATCCAGGTCACCTCCCTTCAAAGCCCAGTAAACTTGCATAAAATCCCCCAGGGCTTAATCTCCCTTCACACTTTCCTGTGGCAGGGCAGGGGTCGGACCAGATACCATAGGACCCTTGACCAATTCCTTATCTCCCCAAGAAGCCTCAGGAGTGGAGATGGAGGGGGGAGCAGTGAGACACCCATCAACTTTCATTGTGAGTATCTGGTTAGTGTCAACACATGTGACAGATTAGCAGACCCTGAGATCAGAGGTTAAGGTTGAAACCAGATGTGAAAGAAGAGGGTGTTGTTTTGTTTTGTTTTTTTAAAAAGGGGATTCTGAGAACTGGCAGGACACCTCCAAAGAATAAGGAAAAGGCCAGGATAACAGAAACCAGAACCCCTAGGGGACCAGATGTGGGGGACTGCATGGGATCCCACAGGAAGGAACATCCTGAAAGGTATCAATATGTCCTGAGCCTGGATGCAGACAGGCTCTAGGGAAGGGAGCATGTCTGCACACAGGCAGGAGCTCCGTGGAGGATTTAAGGTGCTGAACCTCTCTAGCTCAGGTAACAGCAGCCTCTCTCTTTTCTACTAAGAGCTTGGATTCTGGTCCTACTGAGTACAAGAGCCAGCTCACCCTCTCAAAGCCTGTTTCCTGAACTGTAAAACGGGAATTCAAGTCTCTACAAGGTTATGAGGAGGAATAAACAAGTGCTTATTTAGAGCAATGGCTGGTACACAACTAGGTGTAAAAGAAATGGCAGAGGGCAGTAGTGGACCTAGGTCAGTTTTGACCATTGATGTCATGATCAGTTGCGAGGTGGTTCCTGTGTCATTTGTCGCTAATAATAGTTGAGGTACCAAAATTTTAAAATTATTTACAGCACAGTCATAGCATATATTTGTGTAACCTAATGCAACGTTTAAAAAAACGTAAAACGCTTTTAAAAAATTAGTTTAAAAAAACTAAGATCATGGCATCCAGCCTCATCACTTCATGGCAAACAGAAGGAAAAAAAGTGGAAACAGTGACAGACTTTATTTTCTTGGGCTCCAAAATCACTGTGGACAGTGACTGCAGTCATGAAATTAAAAGACGTTTGCTCCTTGGAAAGAAAGCTATCACAGACCTAGACAGCATATTAAAAAGCAGACATAGCACTTTGCCAACAAAGGTCTGTGTAGTCAAAGCCATGATTTTTCCACTAATCATGTATGCATGTGAGAGTTGGACCATAAAGAAATCTGAGTGCAAAAGAATTGATGCTTTTGAATCGTGGTGCTGGAAGACTCTTAAGAGTCCCTTGGACTGCAAGGAGATCAAACCAGTCAATTCTAAAGGAAATTGACCCTGAATATTCATTGGAAGGACTGATGCTGAAGCTCCAATACTTAGGCCACCTGACACAAAGAGCCAACTCACTGGAAAAGACCCTGATGCTGGCAAAGACTGAAGGCAGAAGGAGAAGAGGGAGGGCAGCAGAAGATGCGATGCTTAGATAGTATCACTGACTCAATGGACATGAATGAATGGACTCAAATGAATTTGAGCAAACTCCTGGAGATAGTGAAGGACAGGGAAGCTTGGCATGCTGCAGTCCATGGGGTCGCAGAGTCAGACATGACTTATCAACTCAACAACAATGCAACGTCAACTACATACATGGAGTTTAAAAAAAAAAAGTGAGAATTAACTGGGCAGGACACCTCGATGAGCATCTCAACTCAAGTAAGCATGAGCAAGGTCTATTGATCCTCTAGTTTTCAGTGTGAAGTCTGTCAAACCACAGGCCACGGAGTATGACTCAAGGGTTTTGCTTGACACCATATACCTTAAAAAAATTAGAGCAAACTTTCTATTACTCAGATGCATTTGCACTCAAATAGTAGAAGAGGTGGAATTACAATGCCAGATACAGCCAAGGGCATGCCAAGCATAATGCTATGTACATATGATTGGGAAAGCTGATCTGTGAGGCAGGATTGGCCTCAATCTCCATCTCCTTATGTTCTCCTGTGTATTCAGCTCTCACCTCTGAAGGAAGAAATACTAGAGACAGCTCCAACCCCAACCACTACCTTCTGTCAAAATGTCATGCCTTGGGAGGAACAACCTTCACTTCAACACTCCCCATTTGTCTCACCCAGGTACCTGGCCCAGGACTCACACCACCCCAAGGTCCAGGCAGCACCACTTACTGTGTGATCTTGGGTCAGGCCATTTGGCCTCTTGAATTTCTCTACTAATTAATACCACTTCATAGCCAGAGGCTGAGAGTAAAAAAAACAAGTCACAAGTATGAATGTTCAGTCAAGTGGGGTCATTTTCAGGGATCTGTGCAGCTCAACGATTAAAACCAAAGTTTCATCCTAGTGTTTAAGGTTTTCCCTGTCTCCCAGGCCACATGTCCAGCCCTCTATCTCCTCAGTTCAGTTCAGTCGCTCAGTCGTGTCTGACTTTTTGTGACCCCATGAATCACAGCACGCCAGGCCTCCCTGTCCATCACCAACTTCTGGAGTTTACGCAAACTCATGTCCATTGAGTCATCCAGCCATCTCATCCTCTGTTGTTCCCTTCTCCTCCTGCCCCCAATCCCTCCCAGCATCAGGGTCTTTTCCAATGAGTCAACTCTTCACATGAGGTGGCCAAAGTATTAGAGTTTCAGCTTCAGCATCAGTCCTTCCAGTGAACACCCAGGACTGATCTCCTTTAGGATGGACTGGTTGGATCTCCTTGCAGTCTATCTCCTAGCTGCCCCTATTTTGCAGCCACACCCACTGTCCCTTAACTCGTTCTTAAGTTGTCCTGCTGCCCAAAATGCTCTTACTTTCAATTCCTATTACAAATCTTTAGTTCTTTCAAAATCCATTTCAAGCATCATCTTTTCTCTCCTGCCCGTCAGTGCTGCCAGGTACTGAACTCTAAAGCTGGGTAGAAGGGAAGTGCCCAAGAGATGGCAAAGTTGTTTGCATGCCCACCTTTTCCTTCTAGCTGGAGATTCCCGCATGAGGGGGGTTAGGTCTCAAATATCCCAAAGGCCTTCCATGACCCTTTAATAGGCTCTAGTTACCCTTCCCAGGTGGGTTCTTGTTTCTCTCTGACTTCCAGGACCAGAATCGGGGTTCAGTAAATGACCATTTAGGCGAACAGGACAGACCAATTTCCCACTCCCCTTCCTATGATTTGAGTCCTGATGAGGTCACTTGTAATTGTGGACTTTAGGAAAGACACTTAACCGCTGTAAGTCTTCATTCTCATCTATAAAGTTAGAATAATATTACTAAGCTTGTTGTGAGGACAGTAAAAATAAACTACAAAACACCTAACACTCAGTAGGTGCTCAATAAATAACAGTCCCCGAAGGAGTACTGGATCAATCCTAAATAGAAATGAGGAGAAAAAGAAAATATAAATTGGAACAGAAAAAAATATGGTAGAAGAAATACCAAGATTACAATAAAAATAAATAGGCAAAACTCACCTATTAAATGAGTCTAGGTTGGGTAAAAAAAGCAGGCTGTTTGCAAAAGACACACCTGAAGATATAAGAGTTCTCTCATTTTACCCACTTTCAAGCCCAAGGGTTTGCCCAGCTCTTATCACCCCACACTGCAACACAGCAGACTATTACAGCACATCAGACCCCTTGGCTCACACCACATATTGTTGGCAATGGATTTTCTATAAAATAAAGGCTCAAAATTCTTTCAGGCACCAAAATTTTTATTAACCCACCTTCTTGCTCTCTCTTAACATTATAAACCAAATTAACCCAGAGCTATGATGGGAACCATCAAGTTACAATGTGCTTTTATGTTTCTTTGGCCCCTCTTAACCGCTGGCTGTCATTCCTCTTGTCTTTTCTCACTTAACAATATATTCCAACCCCTGTAAAATAGGGACTAAAAGTACCAACCTCATTGTTCTGAGGTTTAAGAGAATGCTAAGCACTAAGCCAGGCTCCCCGGAGCATTCAAACTCCCACAGTTCCTCCACACCCTTTGACACAGCTCCTTCTCATCTGTCCTGGGCTGAGGAACCAATGAACCTGTAAACCAAGAACATGAGTCTAAAGTCCACAGGCCAAGTGAAGGCCTGGATGGTAAAGTGCATGGGCTTTCTGACCACCACTGCCAACTTCCAGCTTAAGGAAGGACTGAGTGAGCAGTTCCTGAACCCCTGAGCTCATGGTTCCCTGTGGGTAACCCCCATGTACCTCCATTATGAGCAGGGCTAGAGGAGGGACTTCTCAATTCCCCCTGCCACACTTGGAACAGCGTGGGGGGTGCAGCAGAGGCCAAAGACTGAGTGACAAGCCCCACGGAGTCGATGGGGAACATCATCAAACCAATCTCAAAAGTGGTGCCGTTTGCTCTTGGGGAGGAGAGGTGGGACCCAGGCAAGGACAGCAGCTGGAAGGCAAAGGGCAGGCCTGGTTCTCAGTAGCGGTAGTGATCAGGCTTGAACGGGCCTTCGCGGGGCATGCCCAGGTACTGGGCCTGCTTCTCAGTCAGCTTGGTCAGCTTCACATTCAGCTTGCCCAGATGGGCTTCAGCCACGGCTTCATCCAGCTGGGGAGAAACAGGAAAAGCTGGAATCAGTGCCATGCTCTGGGACCCCTAACCTCCATCTTCTCGCTGCCCAAAGAGGCAAGAATGGTTCTATTGTGACATCTGCTGAGTGTTAAGCGTATCACATCATCCTGTCCTCACAGTGGAGGTGTGTGGGTTTGGCCTGCTCAGCTCTTCTTCAAGGGGGAATCAAATTACATCTTCCCCTCCAGGCAGCCCTGGTGGGACCATCAATTAGGTCTCCTCCTTCACCCTCCATCAACCTACGCAGCCAACCAAAATGCTTCCTGGAATTTATCAATGAACAGGACATACTTTCATGACAGGGGCTCTCGGGATTCCTAAACAGGGAGGCCATCGGTCTCAGCTCACCAGTAGCAAGTCTGTTTGACAAGTGAATTGAATGCAGGGAGAACAAAAGAGCCAAGAAACAGAGAAAGACAGAGCTCCAATGCCAATGAGTCCCCGGATCCAGTGTCTGAATCTGACACTCTGCCATTACAGAACCAATAGCATTCTTTTTTGGATTACACTGGTTGTGGTTGTTTTAAAGTACTTCCTGAGCAGTGGTGACCATAGCCGCCTTCTAAATATATCCTTAAAAATCTGTCTATAAATTCATAAAATGCCTTCCTCCTCCAAGAGGTGGAGCCTAAGTCCTCACCCCTCAAGTGGCTCATTTCTAATGAACAGAGTGAAGCAGAAATGATGATGTGGGGCTTGAAAACTTGGAGCTAAAAGGTACTTCAGCTTCCTCCTCTGCTCTCCCCCCGGATCTGGGGGAAGCCGGCTGCCATCTCATGAGGAAACAAGCAGCTCTCTGGAGGAGACACTCATGTGGCAAGGACCTCCTGCCCACAATGACGTGAAGTGGCTCTTCCAGCTCCAATCAAGCCTTCAGATGACTGCAGCCCTGCCGGGCTGACTTCTTGACTCAAGTCCCATCCCACCATCCCATAATGGCACAATCGCCTTTAACCACAACCCAGATCCCTGGTGGCTTCCCTGGTAGCTCAGCTAATAAAGAATTCACCTGCAATGCGGGAGACCCAGGTTTGATCCCTGGGTCGGGAAGTTTCCCTGAAGAAGGTTACCGTCCAGTACTCTGGCCTGGAGAATTCCGTGGACTAGAGAGTCCGTGGTGTCGCAAAGAGTCGGACACGACTGAGCAACTTTCACTTCACAGCCCAGAGAGCTTTACATTCCCAAGTGGTTTCACATTCACTGTTTCATTAGAGGCAAACATCCCTAACGAGGAGGCCAGGGTTTATTTTCCTATTTAACAAATGGAAGAACCTGGGGAGAGGCAGGCAAAGGCAGGAGCAGAGTCCAGCCCTAAGGCCATGGCAGTTCTGGAGGCAGAAGGAAGGTCTCCAGTGACCTGAGGACACAATGAATCCTCCCTTCGCCTGGCCTGGCCTGCACCCAGCACCTGGAGCGCTGTGTGTCATATGGCTAACAACCCGGCTGGTCTACTCTGGTCCAATACTTCACAGGTGTGGGGGCAAGTCACTCTCTGAACCTTAAGTTCCCTTATCTGTAGGCTGGATCTCTCACAGTTCTTACAAAGATCAGTGATATTCAAGAGGGCATGATGCAGGCATCTTAATAAATGGGGGGGGGGGAGGGGGGCTGCTCATGCTGTCATTATGGTTAACCAAGATACATAATCCCTTGCCCCACACATTGCACGTGAGTGTGAAACATGGCCCCAGCCCATGCCATGGCAGTGATGGAGAAAGGAGAGAAGGATGAGGCCAGGTGCTGGGGGAGGTGAGCTCTTTACCTTTTCACTTCCAACCCTGGTCTCATCTCAGAGGCTTGCCTCTCTTCCCACTGCAGCCCTATTTCCTCCAGTTGAGATCAGATGAGGGGTCAAATGAGGCTTTTTAACCCTACAACAAGTATGGGGACCTGGCAGGCTGCACAGGACAGGACAGCCCCTTGAGGCCCTCACAGGTGAAACATCTGGTCAGACAAGGCAGTACCTGAGGAAGACTAGCGGGGAGAGGAGTTGGCTGGCTCAGAGGACAGACACCCTGGCCTCTTCCTACTTCTCATTAGTTGGCAGAACCAGCTTCTCAAAGGGTGGGAGGAGAGATATGAAGACTCCATCACAGCCTCACCAGTAGTCAAAGGTTGGAAGCAAGAATTATTCTTACCACTTAGCTGAGAGGGACACTGAGGCCCAATCAGGCTAAGTACCAAAACCAAGTTTGCCCACGATGCTAAGAGTCAGCATGAAAACACAGCATTCTGACCCCTGAGGGAAGGCAGCGCGTGGGGTGTTAGGACGAGCACTGCATTTGACGTCAGATGACCTCATGTTGACCAGGTTGTCATGGTTACCATGACCACATGCTCACAGAATGTCAGGGGCCATGCTCAATATGTTAGCAGCATCACCCCATTCCAAGGCCACAATTGTGCAGCCTGTAGGCTGCATCTGGCTTACAAACAAGTCCAAGTTTACCCACCCAGTTATGGATTTAAAATTGAATATTTCACACAAAAATATTCATATCTGGCTTCCTCTGAAATGTCAGGAGCCCTGACCCAAAGGGCCCAGGTTGATAATAGGCAGCCAGCCCCTTCCACTGGGCACATGTTTTTTGGTCAGTTCTCCTCCAGCCCATTCATCCTTAGTGGGCATGTCTGTTTGTGACCCGTAACCTAAGGAAGTTCTCACAATCCTTACGGAGGTACTATTACCTTCACTTTACAGAGAAGGAAATGGAAGTTCAGAAGTTAAGGAAGCTGGTTACACAGGCTGAGATTCAAACCTGGATATGTCTCTCTCCAAAGCCCATGCTCTTCTCACCACCCAGCCCGGCTACTCAAGAGTTATTCCCTGCTTTGAGCCTCACTTTCTCCTCTGTTAAATAGAGAGAATGACTTCTGCCCTGAGGGGGACCCTGTTAAGATCTTCAAGAGAGGAGGCAAGCACTGTATGAACTCAGGCAAGCCCTGCTTGGGGAGCCCAGGTCACATGACCCTTGGCCAGGGGTGCAGGAAGGAACCCACCTTCTTGGGCAGGAAGTGGACCCCGACAGGGTACTTGTCCGGGTGGGTCCAGAGCTCGATCTGCGCCAGCACCTGGTTGGTGAAGGAGTTGCTCATCACAAAGCTAGGGTGGCCCATGGCACAGCCCAGGTTGACCAGCCGGCCCTCAGCCAGCAGGATGATGCGGCGCCCGTTCTTCAACAAGTAGCGGTCCACCTGCAAGCGGGCAGAGCAGCGATAAGGACTGGCAGGCGCTGTTCCCAGTGTCCACCCCATCCTCATCCCATCCTCCTGCCCAGCAGGCCTCCCTGCCTCCAGCAGTGCCCACAAAGGGCCAAGAATGCCCTAGAACAACCTCCAGCACAGGGACTGGCACACACAATTAATAATAAAAGCCAGTATTTATTAAACAACTCTGACCTGCAGACCTCATACATATACTATGAAAATTTAAAGAGCTCACATGTGCAAGGCACTTAGTTTAAGTACTACATATTAGCTAATGATATTGTTAATATTATTACTGGCACAGTTACACATGTAACTCTGTATGTGTGTGTATACAATATATAAAAATTACATTTAATTCTACTAACAATCCTATAAATTAAGTACTGGTATTATCACCATTTCACAGATAAAGAAACTGAGGTTTAAAGGGTTAAGTTCCTTGTCCAGAGCCAGACATTACAAAGTGGCTGTAATTTGAGCCTGGACAGTCTGAGGACAGATCCCAGGTTCTCAATCATCATGCTTAGTAAAAAGCTGAATGTAGGATTTCCCTGGTGGTCCAGTAGATAAGAATCTGCCTGCCAATGCAGGGGACATGGGTTTGATCCCTGGTCCGGGAAGATCCCACATGCCTCAGAGAAACTAAGGCCGTGTGCCATAACTACTGAGCCTGCGCTTGAGAGGCCATGTTCCACAAGAGAAACCACAACGAGAAGCCTATGCACCGCTGCATGCTACTGCATGCAGCAACGAAGACCCAGAGTAGCCAAAAATGAAATCAATAAGACAGATGCAGTGATACTCAACCTTGGCTGTGTATCAGAATCCTCCAAGAAGCTTTAAAAACGAGGACCCTTGGCCTCCCTCCAAGATTCCAATTTAAGCAGCCTGAAACCTCTTCCTCCCACCCCACTGCCCAGGTCGCCAGAGACTCATCATCTGTCCTCCCCGGCGGCCAGCCCACGGGCACGCCCCCCCTCGGCGCTCCATCTGCCGAGCCTGCTGGCAGGGCTGGGGTTCCTCACCTGGGGCTTGATGTTCACCTTCTCCACAGCATTCTCGTTCAGCCACTTGACATCAATCTCCACGTCAAAGTGCCCGATGTTACACACAATGGCATCATCTTTCATCTGTTCAAAGTGCCTGTGGGGGAGCCTCAGTCCGTGAGACAGGGTCAGCAACCAAGGGCAGCCCCACGCCTGCCCCCTCTTTCACTCCCTAGGACCCCCACCACCACACAAACACCTACTGGCCAACGATGATGTCGATACAGCCCGTAGTGGTGACAAAGATGTTGCCCTCCTGACAGGCCTCATCCATGGTGGTCACCTCGTAGCCTGTGTAGAGACAGCCCCCGTGGGTCAGCCAGCATGGCCACACCCCTCCTCTGGCCCCACAGCTGACGGCCAACCCCCACTCTATCATACCCTCCATGGCAGCTTGAAGTGCGTTGATGGGGTCAATCTCCGTGATGATGACGCGGGCCCCGAATCCCCTCAGGGCCTGGGCACAGCCCTTGCCCACGTCGCCATAGCCCGCGACCACTGCCACCTTGCCCGCAATCATGACGTCTGTGGCCCGCTTGATGCCATCTATGAGGGACTCCCGGCAGCCATAGAGGTTGTCAAACTTGCTCTGAGAGGAGAGGGGGCGAGGCAGGGATGGGGGCAGGCAAAGCCCTGGGGCCTCAGACCCACTCTCAACATGTCAGCCCGCTGGGCCTTGGGGTGATCACCTCCTGGGACTTCTCCCCGCCAGCTAGAGTGTTCATGCGCCCCTTGCCCCTGCTCAGCCCCACCACTTTCTCCCCAGTCTTTCTCAGCCAGTCTAGAAGGCTTCCTGAGGATCAACTATGAGAGACTGCCCAAAGAATCTGCTTCACTTTAAACCTCCCGATGCCCAGCTCTGAGGATCACTGTGTAATCCTTTGTCTCTTTAATGCACTCATCACTACCTACAACGCCTTTCCCCACCAAGTGAGGGCTAAATTCCTCATCGGCAGCCTCCCTGGGGGCCCCCTTCAGGGCCTACTCCTGAGCTGCTCTGGAGACCAACAGCAGGAGCCATTCCTGCTCCCCAGGCTCACCTTGGTGACAGAGTCGTTGACATTGATGGCCGGCACCTTCAGGATCCCGTTGGCCATCATCTTGTACAGGTTGTGGACCCCCGTTGTAGTCTCTTCAGAGATGCCTCGGATGCCTGAACAAGAGGGAAGGGGACAGATTTTAGGACAGGAAGGAGTGGCCTCTGGGATGGGACTCCAAGAGCCTAAGAGAGCCCACAACTGAACTCACCTGAATTCCTCACCTTTGCCTTCCAAAGATGTTCCTCTTTCTGGGTTCCCATCTCTGGAACCTATACCACAGTCCACCTAATCACCTGGGCCAGCATGAGGGAGGAGTCGGCACCTTCACTAAGCCTCATGATTCTATCTCCCAACAACTTGCAGACTCTCCATCCCTGCTGCCCTCGTCCCTGCCACAACGCGTCCTCTACACAGCAGCCACACTTAACATGTGTATTTTCAGAGACGTCTTTTCAGTACCATCCAGTTACTTCCCTTTGCCCTCAGCATCAAGCCCAACTCTCTTGCTGAATATATTATAAAGTCTTTATACATCTGGTCTTCACTGAGGCTCCAGTGAAGGAAGTTGCCAAGCTGGCTAACTTTCTGTTTCCTGAAAGGTCAATCCTGTCCTACCTCAGGGCCTTTGCACTCACTATAACATTCCCTACTTCCCTCCCCACCCTGCTATTAAGGAAGCTCCCCAGCTGTTCTCAGCCCTGCCCTTATGCTTGCCCTCAGGCCATCATCTCAGCCAGCCTTCCCCCAGCTGCCCCAGCCCAGAAGATGGGCCCCAGCATGCTTACAGGAGCCTGTGGACATCCCATCTTCCACAAAATCTGCTGCTTGAGGCACCGGGAGTCCTGCCAGGCCTGCATTTAGACCACCAGCACCCAGCCCACCGACCTGCCCTACTCACCTGACAGGAGCTGCGGGTACTTGGTGTGGATGAGGTTGGTGAGATCACCACCGTCGTCCAGAATCATGTTGAGGGGCCCGTCCTTGAAGTACAGCGTCTGCTCAATGCACCACAGGTACTCCTCGTCCGTTTCGCCCTTCCAGGCGTACACTGGAGAGTGAGCAGCACGTCAGGGCTGGCCCTTCACAATGGCACCTGCTCTAGGGACCCACCTAGGTAAGACTCAAGACTACCTCCTTCCTAATTTCCATCCCCAGCCACCTCCAGCCTCTCTGCGGATTCAGCAGTGCTAAGGACACAACTTGGAGCCAGAGGAATCAGAGTGTGAATCCTGGTTCTGCACTGCCCAGCTGTGTGACTTTCGGCAAATTACTGTTTCATTGTCGATGATAGTATAGATTAAGTGAGACAGAAGCCAAACACAGATCCCCTATTTACAAGTATCTGGAAAGAATTCTTTCCTCTTTGACTCTTTTTTTATCTTCTCCTTTCCTACCCTCATCTGTCTGGGCCCCCAGCTCACAGTGACCAGGGTTCCTGCCCACAGTGCCTACTGCTGGGAGGGAGGTGTGACTGGAGGAGGAGCAACATTAGGTGGACTCGAGAGACAAGACCCAGGCTTCATTCTGCACTGAAAGGACCTGATGGGCCCACAGTCTCCGTAGTAGGTTATCCTAGGCAACGTCTGGCCAGAGTCTACTAACAGCAGCTACTGTGTATGGAGCACTGTCTCTGTGTCAGGCATTACTATAACTGCTTCTTGCCCTCATCTCATTTGTCCTCACAGAAACCCTGTGAGGCTGGCATTACCATCATCATCACCTACAGATGCCCAGAGAAGCGGCTGAGATGTTCCCAGAGAGGGGCTGAGATGTGCCCAGGTCACTCATCATGATACTCTGCTGTTGCTGTTTTTGGCCACACAGCATGTGGGATCCTAGTTCCTCAACCAGGGATCAAATCCATGCCCCCTGCACCAGAAGCCCCGAGTCCTAACCACTGGGCCACCAGAGACGTCCCAGCATGGCGCTACGAGCAAGCAGCAGAGTCCAGTGCTCCCGACTGCCAGCCCACGCTTCTCCCATCGTTTGGAACAACTGCGACACAGGTGTGAGGCTCCCGGGAAGCTCCCATGAGCAAAGGACACCTGCCAAGCGAGGCCAGCTTCCCCTCCCTCAAACTGGGGCAGATAATAGTCTTGAAAACAAGGCCTTTCCCAGAAAGGGGTCATGGAGTCCAAACTAGGTTGAGGAGTTGGGGACATGCCGATCCTTGGTTAGTCGCTGGAGAGGTCTTCCCCAACTCTATACCTTCCACTTGCAGCTGGTTAGAAGGAACTGTGAATGAATGTCCTATTTTATCATCATCAGACCTAACCCAAGCCCCTCCCCAAGCCCAAGCAGACTTGTTTCTGTTTCTCCAGCAGCTTGTGAGAAAGTCCTTCCTCTTTGGTTGTGGCCTTCCCCAGTACCCTAGACCATCAGATACTATGCAGTGGATCTCTGGGACTCTTTTTCTGCCCAGTACCCCTCCCTGATTCTTTGAGAAACAGACCCACAGCCTCCTTTTAAGGAACTTCCCCCTCTTCAACACCATGTGATTCCCAATCACTGACTTGACTAGGGCAAGTAAGTGCTTTCAATAGAATCTGAGATGACAGCTGGACAAAACAGCTTTTTCCAATGGGTCTCTAGGCTAGGATTCTGTGGCCATGACTCCTCTCCCCTGCTGTAAGGAGGTCTGCAGCAGTAAAAGTGAAGTGAAGCAAACAGAGAAAAGCAGAGCCCCTTCCTGTATCCCCCAGCAGCAAGGACTCACCTGGAATGCCAGCCTTGGCAATGGCAGCTGCTGCATGGTCCTGGGTGGAGAAGATATTGCAGCTGGACCACCGCACCTGCAACAGCCAGCAAGACAGGGCTGGTCACAGCCAGGTCAGAAGACCAGGGTCACTAGACAGGGGTAAGAAAAGGCCCTGAATCTAGGGATGAGACGCCTGGGATCTACATCCAACAGTTCTGCAACCACAGGCTGGGGACCCTGGAGAGTGGATGGGAGCCAGAGCAATGACAAGACCTAACTTATGTGAAAACAAGGCTCTGCCATGTGGAGGGGGAAGGGCTCCACAAGGAAGAAAGGAGACAAGTGAAGAAGCTGTTGTTAGTGTTAAGACAAGATATGCAACTATAGCAGTGGAGGGGATAAATATTATTCTGAAGGCTGAGCTGACAGGATTTGTTGGCAGGATTAGTTTGTTGGAGTAAGAGAAAAAGAGGAGTCAGGGATGACCTCAGGTTCTTGAACGGAGAGAACCTGTGAGGCTGAAGGCTGCAAATGCTTACACAGGGAAGACACCAAGAAGTGTAGGAAGTCATGAGTTTGTTCAGACATGTTGAGGTTGAGATGTCAATCAATCAGATCTCCAAGTGGAGATGGTACCTCAGTTGCTGAATACGATGTACCATATCATATAAATATTATTTATGTTATGACATAACCACATAAACAATATTTAAAACCATAAAATCAGACCACTGAAGAGAGGGAGTGTAGAAAAGAAAGTAGTAGGCCAAGGACTGAGCCCTGTTGGATTGACTAATTGGTTCTGGCCTCCCTGCACCACCACCGACCCCGCCCCCCGTGAAACATCTTCAGAGAACTTGGAAGAGCTGCAATCATTGGTACACATGACCCAGGCTGAACCAATCAGAGAGCACCATCTTTCCAGCAGCCGTGATTGGCCAAGGGGAGGCACGTGACCCTGGGAAGGCCTATGGGAACCAGACCCTTAGATGACTCAGTAGGGCTCTGGGTTTGAGTCTTTCCTATTAGAGCTTCACCAGTCAGGAGAATATGAATTGAGGGGGACCAGACGCCATCTTCCCAGTGAGAGTAAATCAGCAGAACAGTCACCACAAATGACAGTGAGGGGCGCCCCATGACAAGGCTGGAGCTGGAGCCCCTGCTGGGCCTGAGGGGACACAAGACTGTAACTGCGGCTTCAGACCTCACCTCAGCACCCAGGGCAACAAGGGTCTCAATGAGAACGGCGGTCTCCACGGTCATGTGCAGGCAGCCGGCAATGCGGGCGCCCTTCAGAGGCTTGGAGGTCGAGTACATTTCCCGCATGTGCATCAGGCCCGGCATCTCATTCTCTGCCAGGTCCAGGGCCTTGCGTCCCCAAGCGGCCAGGGTGATGTCAGCTGCAGGGGCAGGATGGACGGAAGTTCATGAGCTACTTCATCCCATCAACCATGAAGCACCCGCCACTCTGCACTCATCCCCTGTGGACTCGAAACACTAGGCTGGCTGCAGTCTCACTGATTCAACAAGGATTTCCTGGAGCCAGGGCAGTCAAAAAAGAAAGACATGGTCCCTGCCTAACTGCAGCCTACTTATAGCCTTATGGGAGAACACATTTAATTAAAGAATCCCACAGGAACATAAGGACTTCTCTGGTGACTCAGATGATAAAGAATCTGACTGCAATGCAGGAGACCCAGGTTCAATCCCTGGGTTGGGAAGATCCCCTGGAGAAGGGAATGGCAATCCATTCCAGTATTCTTGCCTGGAGAATCCCATGGATAGAGAAGCCTGGCTGGCTACAGTCCATGGCATGGCAAAGAGTCGGACACAACTGAGTGACTAAGACAAACACACAGAAGAACATGATCACAACACGGGTAAGTGCTCCCTTGAAAAATAAACAGCTGTCAGCCTATACACGCCTCTTACTGCTTGCCACCTACCAACCTCCTCATTCCCTCAAGATCTTAGCTCCTGGTTCTCCATCTTCCTAATCACCAGTCTTGGTGACTTCAACACTTCTAAGTGATATAACCTAACACCTTGGACTCAGCACCATTCTTTGATCTCCCTGAAGACAGAGAAATGTTTCTCCACCCCTGTCACTTCTTCCCACCTGGAGGGAACTCATCTGTGTAACTAACAGCTCTTGGCCTCTCTCTACCCCAGGGGAGGTTTATTTAATTAGTAAACTTAGAAGGAAAAAACTGGCCATGCACAGTTCAGGTCTCCCCTTTTTCAAGCAAGCAACCACCAACCTGCCTGCAAGGAGCACATTCTTCCACAGAGAGATCTACCCAAACCCACCTTGCCTGTAACTGGTGGGTTAACTGCTGAATTTGGGGGTTTGGTTAGCATTATCATTGGACTTTGACGCTAGTCTACATCTTCGGGCTTCAATGGATGCTATTAGTTATCCCTTGATACCTACAGGGGATTGGTTCTGGGAATCTCTATGGATACCCAAATTCTCAGATGCTCAACTGCCTTATATAAAATGGCATAGTGGCGGTGGTTCAGTCACTAAGTCGTGTCCAGCTCTTGCGACCCCATGGACTGTAGCCCACTAGGCTCCTCTGTCCATGGGATTTCCCAGGCAAGAATACTAGAGTAGGTTGCCATTGCCTCCTCCAGGGGATCTTCCCATCCCAGGAGTCAAACCCACATCTCCTGCATTGGCAGGCGGATTCTTTACTGCTGAGCCACCAGGGAATCCTATATGCTCCATTAGATCACTCAATATCCCATATCCTCTTACCTCTTTGATGACTTCACTACTGCAATGAAACTGTTCTCCTAAGGTCTCCGTAAGGCCCCATAGCCACTGGTGAATTATCCATGTTTACATTTCTCCCTGCAGTACCAACAGCACTAAGTGCTCTCTCCTTCGGAATCGCTTTGCTTAGCCTGTCTTTCTGTGGTTTCCCTTCCACCTTCCTAGTTCCTCTTCCTGTAACAGACTCTCAAAGTTTGGAGGCCCTCAAGGCTCCATCATCTCCCTCTTCTCTCCTACCAGATGAGCTCATCCCACTTTATGGCTTGAAATACCTTTTCTACAGCAGTGTCTCCCACCTGTTCATCTCCAGCCCAAACTTCTCCCCTGAACCTGAGACTCATAATGCAACTGCCTACTCAGCATCTTGGTTGTCCATCTAGATAATGCGTCAAGTTTGAGCCCTCCTGACTCCTTTTTCTCATCCCCAAACTTGTTACGCCCCCAATCTCCTCATTTTAGGAAACGAAACCACCATTCAACCAGCTGCTCTAGCCAAAAACTTATGATTTCTTGATTCTTCTTTTCCCCTTTCACCCTCTTCCAACCCATCAGCACTGTTGTCTCAACATCCCAAATATGAGCAATCCAACAGCATCTCACCACCTTGAATCACTGAAGCAGCCTCCTCACTGGTCTCCCTGCTATTCTCCCCATGCTAGGGAAATGAAGATGCACGTCGTCTTGTTCAGGTTTCAGAAGCAGGAGAGCAGCCCTCTGACTGACTTCTGACCCTGCATGGACTATGTGCCTGCTCTGGTTACCAGCAAGTCAAGCCACACCTTAGGTTAAGAGAGGGAGTGGGTCTTAGAATTTCCTGAGCCCCTGGAGGCCTGGCCAAACCCCCAACCCCACCCTGGGGCCCTTGTTTCACAAGAGGAAACAAACAGCCTTGTAAAAGTTAAGAGCTGCATTTTTGCGTGCAACCTGACGATATCAGCTTGCAGCCTGGGATTACAAGCAGGAGCCCCCAAAAACTGCAGTCTGAAGTCTTACCTGTGGGGTGGACCACTGCCTGGGACCCTTTTCCCAACTGAGACTCCAGATTGCTGGTACTGGGATCTCCCAGCACTGTTCAAGTTTGGATGTAGGTTGTCAACCCAATTTGGTGATGTATATGCTATTATCCCTCTCTATTGTTTCTATTTCTTTGCTTTTAACAACTGTCTAATTGTTTGTGTATAATAAGCAGATTTTTGTTAATGAATCCTTTGAATCTAAAATGAAAGTAGAACACCCCACAGGAGGAGCTCTTCAAGTGGCTAGTTGGGATTCAAGAATCATCTAATAAAAGTTAGATCTTTAAAAAACCAAACAATACCCCACAAAAGTCAGAGAAACAAACTTAAATTTTAAAATGTATCACCTCCATTCTTCTGCTGAAGTAAAAAAGCAAGCCAACCTCCAATGGCTTCCCCTAACCAACTCTTCCCATGGCCACAGTGCCATACCCAGGTGTCTGCTCGTGCCCACCTCTGTACCCTTTTCTCCCCCTCACTAGTTGCTCAACCATACAAACCTCCTTACTGTCTTCATATTCCCGCCTCAGGGCTTTAACCCAAGCAGCTCTCTTAGCCTGGAAGGCTCCTCCCCAGCACCTGATACAGTACCTGGCACACAGTAGGTGCTTAGGAAAGAAGGAAGAACTTGGTATATTGCTGCTGGAGGAACTGAGAGCATGCCACAGTGTCTCTAGTAGAGGGAGTAAGATGATGAGTCAGGATTTTATTCCTGTAGTTTTAAGGGGAGTCTCATGACCAGACTTGTCTTTTGAGAAGGCTTTTTTGGTTGCTGCAAGTATCTACGAAGCAAGAGACTCACGGAGACCTGTGAGGAGGGAGCCCAGGACTGGGGTGGTAGCTGTGGAGACAGAGAAGTGGGCAGATCTCCTCACTTGCAAAACAGATTGTATCTCTAGTACTCTGATGGGTTGGGCACAGAGTAGGGGTCAGCCATGTTTACTGACCATCCTTGTTGTTAAGATTGAATGAGAGAAGGTCCATGAAAGGGGCTGGCAGTAGATGGGTAACCAAAAAAAAAAAAAAAGAAACTAAATCTGAACCTAGTCCAACTCCCAGTATTTACCAATGAGGAAAGGCTCACAGAAGTTATTTTGCCCAGGTTTGACAGCCAGTCAACAGTAGGGGTGGGATGGGTGGCCAGGCAGAGCTGGTAGAGCCAGAGGCTCCTGGGAGGGGCCCAGTAGCAGACAATGGTTCCTGTCCTATCCTAAGCTCCACCCCCTCTGCCACCCCCTGTCCCTCCAGAGAAAAGAACTCTTTCACTGCCCTTAGGATACAGCTGTGCCAGCCCTAGTGTTTTCATGGGTCCCTCAACTCCAAGAGCACAGGAGTCTGGCAGTCTAAGTTCTGGGGTTTTTGGTGCCCAGGGGAGCTGAGGACTTGCAGAGGCTGCCGTAACACCTGTCAGGACAAGCCAAGAATAGTAGCAAACCCCTCTCTGAGTCTGTTTCTTCATCTGTGAAATGGGAATAATCCTAACCTTCCTTGAGCCCAAGGATTAAAGATGCCATATGGGCAGTGTCTGGCAGTGTGCCCTCCCTGATGGAGTTTCCTTTCAACCCTACTTAGCCAAGTTCCTCCACTTCCAAATGCAGCCTTATCTCCTCCCACACAACCCAAAGCCCTCAACCCTTAACCCACCCATCTCTCCATAATAACAACAAGCCCTTTTCCAGCTCAGCCACTGGACCTTGCTTAATCTTTCTGGGCTTCAGTTTCATTCACACAACAGCGACAATAACCTACTCTGGCCTGCTACTTGATAAACTACTATTGGTAAGTTACTATTTTCCAGAGAGTTTTTGGAAGTTATTTCGTTTTAGGGCTTCAGTTTCTTCCTCTGTATAATGGGATAAAGTCCACCCCTGAAGATCATTCTGTAAACAAATGCAAATCCCCAGATACATAGGAAGTGCTCCATAAATGCTGATACTTTTCTCCAGGTTGAATGGTGTGCTGGATTTACTTTAAAAATTCTAGCCAGCCTGAACCGGTTTCTGCTGAAAGGTCATTAGGGTTATTCCAAATGTGTTCGCTTATACACAGTGATGAAAAGATTAGCACGGCCTGGGTGCACCTACTCCACCACCTCCCAGTTGTAAGAGTGTGGGCAAGTTACCATTTTTCCTATGTCTCAGTAAATCCATAAAATGAGAAGGTAACAGCCTCTACCCTAAAAAGTCATTAGAATAAAATGAATTAATCTATAAGAAAAGTAGAAAGCGGTGCCCACGCCACAGTAAACGCCAGTAAACTTTAACGATCAGTGTATCAGCTTCAATACATAACACAGCAAGAAGGATTTTTCTAACCACTCCAAAAGTTCGAGATTCTCTGTAGGACTGTTCTTGTTGGCCAAGTGAGTGACCCCAGAGGTTGAGTAACAAGCCGAAGGTCCCCGGTGAGTGGACTTGCCCGGCCTCGGGCTCAGTCTCCAGGCCTCTCCCCCACGCGCCCTTCGGGGCCCCAGTACCCTCGCCTTCCCCGTGGGGGGCTCAACGAGGGGTGGGCACTTGCCCGGGACCATCCAGTTGGTCAAGGAGCCGGTCCAGGCCCAGGAGGCAGGATCCAGGCTCCCTAGCGTTGGTACCGGCAGGTGCCATTGGTCCCAAGCCACGATCAGGTGCGCGCTGGCCCCTGCCCCAGGCGACTCTGCGCGGAACACGCCGCCGCTTCGCCACTCCGCAGCCCGCGCCGCTACACCCTGCCTCGCGGGGCACGCCGGAACTTGTAGTTCGCGGCCGCACGCCAAGACACGCTAGCTGCGGCGGGGGAACTCCAACCCCCATGCGGTCACGCGCGGCCAAGACCGCGCTGTGCCAGTGATTCAAGAGGGTCCTCCTGAACGCCCCAGGTCGGCCCCGCGGCCGCCGCCCCAAGAGGTCCCCAGCGGGTGCGGAGCAGATGCGACTGGCTGCACGTCCTGGAACTCACCGACTTTGTAAGGCAGCTTGTCCGACATGCTGGCAGCGTTTCCGCACGGAGTGATGCACGCAGGAGAAAGGGGCCGGGCCTAGGGCTGGGAAGAGGCGCGGGCTGGGCGGCGCCGGGTAGGGACCTGCGCGTGGCGCCGACGCCTTTAAATATCTCCCCCGTCTTGCATATTCATGAGTCCCAAGCGAGCTGAGCCGTCGGGGCGGGGTCCAACGCGCAGGGGCGGGACCGGAATGGACTCTGCTCTCTGCTGAGAGCAGTTTTTATCCCAAGCGGTCCTTACACCTCCCACACTGGGTAGCAAACGGATCTCGGAGAGAGGCCTAAGAACAAATTCCATTCTTTCCTTCGTTCAACCAGTGAAACCCATGTCAAAACCGGGTGAAACTGAAATCCCAACCAGCTCTCCTTCCTGAACCTCAGTTTCTTCTTCTGTAAACTGGGCAGAATGATACCTACCATACAGATTATAAGTAAAGCTGCAACATGTCAAGTTTCTAGCACATCGTAGGCCTTCCACCCTCCTGCCACTATCCTGATTTTAGTTAAATTTGTATACGTTTTTATACTTTTACTACATGTGTAGAAATCATTAAATGCTTCTTAGAATGGTTTCTGTGTTTAAAACCTTCATGTGAATGGTAACGTACTGTACTTATCCTTCAGCAATTTGCTTTTTTCTGTTGATGTTATATTTGTAAGAGTAATGCATAGACTTAGAATGTAATCATTTTTGCTGTTTCATTTCATTGTCTACATCCCATGATTAACTTATCTGTTCTCCTATTTGCTGACATTCAGTTTGTGTATCATTCTGCCATTATTGCATAAATGGAAAAATAAACATTGTCTTTTAGTGCACCTGAGTAGGTGTCTGAGTCATAAGTATACTTAGGGGTGAAGTTTCTGAGTTAAAAGCATGTTTTTAACTTTCCTAGGTCTTGCCAAACTGTTTTCCAAAGTAGTTTATTCCCTCACCACAGTGTCTGACGGGGCTTGTCACATCCCTGTCACCACTTGTCAGACTGACAAAAATTTTTATCAAATTGATGGCTGTGAAACTCTCCTTGTGGTTTTAATGGCCACGTGAAGACCCTTTATCATCTTTGTTGGAACCCCCTTCCCCAACTTCCACCCATCTGCTCTCTCATACTTTTTTCAGAGTTGACCCATCCTGAGTCTGTGCTGTCTCACCTCCCACTCAGTCCTCAGTTGTCTGGTCTCCACCCCCAGGTCTCTGCTGAAACTGCTCCAGCCGAGGTCAGTAGGGAAGCCAGACCAACGTGCCTCAGCCTGCATCCCAACCCACCTTGCACACAATGTGCCCTTGGCTTTCACTTTCCTGACTCCTCACCCACTCTCCGCAGGGTGCCTTCTGTGGTCTAAGCAACTTCCTCTCCTTTTCTCCAAAAATTAATGTTCTTTTTCCTCTTATTTGGCTCCATCTTCCAGCCCCATCTCACCCACACTTAGGCTGTTGTGACCACTCATATCAAGGTAATCCAAGTGTACATGGAATAAAACACTCAGTTCAGTTCAGTTCAGTTGCTCAGTTGTGTCCAACTCTTTGCGACCCCATGAACTGCAGCATGCCAGGCCTCCCTGTCCATCACCAACTCCTGGAGTCTACCCAAACCCCTGTTCATCAAGTCAGTGATGCGATCCAGCCATCTCATCCTCTGTTGTCCCCCTTCTCCTCCTGCCCCCAATCCTTCCCAGCATTAGGGTCTTTTCCAATGAGTCAACTCTTCGCATGAGGTGGCCAAAGTATTGGAGTTTCAGCTTCAACATCAGTCCTTCCAATGAACACCCAGGACTGATCTCCTTTAGGATGGACTGGTTGGATCTTCTTGTAGTCCAACGGACTCAAGAGTCTTCTCTTGAACCACAGTTCAAAAGCATCAATTCTTCGGCGCTCAGCTTTCTTCACCATCCAACTCTCACATCCATACTTGACTACTGGAAAAACCATAGCTTTTTTTTTTTTTTCATTTATTTTTATTAGTTTGAGGCTAATTACTTTACATCATTGCAGTGGTTTTTGTCATATATTGAAATGAATTGCCATGGATTTACATGTATTCCCCATCCCGGTCCCCCCTCCCACCTCCCTCTCCACCCGATCCCTCTGGGTCTTCCCAGTGCACCAGGCCCAAGCACTTGTCTCATACACCCAACCTGGGCTGGTGATCTGTTTCACCCTAGATGATATACATGTTTCGATGCTGTTCTCTTGAAACATCCCACCCTCGCCTTCTCCCAGAGTCCACAAGTCTGTTCTATACATCTGAGAAACCATAGCCTTGATTAGGCGGATCTTTCTTGGCAAAGCAATGTCTCTGCTTTTAAATATGCTATCTAGGTTGGTCATAACTTTCCTTCCAAGGAGTAAGCGTCTTTTAATTTCATGGCTGCAATCTCCCTCTGCAGTGATTTTGGAGCCCCCAAAGATAAAGTCTGACACTGTTTCCACTGTTTCCCCATCTAGTTCCCATGAAGTGATACTGCCTTACCCCCAAAGTGGCCTGTTACCCTTCTCAATTATTACATGCCCTTTCTCCTCATCCCTGGAGTTACCACCGCAGTGATTAGTGTCTTTATCATTCTCTTGCTTTTTTAAAATGGATTTTACAACTTATATAACTATCCTAAACAACACATTGTTTAGTTTTGACTGTTTTATCTTTGTATAAATGAAATCATACAGTGTGTGTATTCTTTTACAACTTACTTTCTTTTTCAACACTGCTTTTGAGGGTCATTCATATAGATATTATAGCTCTGGTTCACTTATTTTCATTTCTGTTTAATCCACTTCTTTATTCATTCTATTGTTGATAGACTGGGTTGTTTCAGTTTTTTGCTATTGCAAAGAATACTGCTTTAATATTCTTGTGTGTGTAGATAGATATAGATATAATTTGGGAGTCACATTTCTTAAACAAATATGCTCAGGTCCAACTTAACTAGGTAATGTTAAACTGTTTCCCAAAGTGGTTGCATCAGTCTATACTCCCACCAGCACTGGATAAATACGCTTGTTTTATGCCCTTATCAGCCTACCAATTTTTTTTTTTGCCTATTTGGCAGGTATGAAGTGATATCTCATTGTGTTCCCCCCCCAATTATTTTTATTAGTTGGAGGCTAATTACTTTACAATATTGTAGTGATTTTTGCCATACATTGACATGAATCCTCATTGTGGTTTTAATCTGCATTTCTTTGACTACCATGACTAATGAGGATGAGCATCTATTCATATGTTATAACCCATCTGAGAGTCTTTCTTTGTAAAAGTTCCGTTCATGTCTTTGCCTGTTTAAAACTAGGTGGTTTGTTTTTCTTTTCAACTAATAGAAATTCTTTACATATTCTGGGTATTAGTCCTTTGCTAATTATATGTGCTGCAGATATCTTCTCCAGATTTGTGGTTTGTGTTCTCACCCTCTCTCTGTTGTTTTTTTGATAACTAGAAAATCTTGAGTTTTGTGTTTGTTTTGCCATGCTGCTCCGAATGTGGGATCTTAGTTCCCTGGCCAGGAATTGAACTCCTGTGCTGGAAGTGCAGAGTCTTAACCACTGGACTGTCAGGGAAGTTCAGAAATTCTTAGTTTTAATGTATTCAAATTTGTCAGTCTTTTCTGTAGTGTTAATGGCAGTTTTTGTCTTGTCTTAGAAAATCTATATACCCCCAAAGTCATAAAGAATTTCTTCTGTATTGTTAACCCAAAGTTTTATGGTTCAAATATGTATGTGGTGTGAGGTAGTAATTCTATTTCATTTTTTTTTCCCTAATGGATAAGCAGTTGTTCCAGCACGACTTATGCAACAGTGCATCCTTCTCCCAGTGACCTGTAGTGCCATCTCTGTCATACATTGTGTCCATAAATACACCGGGTTATTCCTATCTCTCTATTTTGATGCATTGATCTGTGTATGCACTGTTGAAATTACTAAAGATTTTTAATAAATCTCATTCTTTTTCAAGAGTATCTTGTGGAAGTTCCCTGGTGACTTAGTGATTAGGATTTGGGGGTTTCACTCCCATGGCCTGAGTTCAATCCATGGTTAGGGAACTGAGGTCTCACAAGCTGCGAAGCACAGCCAAGAAAAGAAAGAATATCTTGCACTGTCTTGGATGTTTGCACATCTATATAATTTTAGAGTTACTTTGTCAAGTCTTAGGGGAAAAATACTTTTTTGAGTTTTTACTGCAGTTGTATTAATCTATAAATTATTTGGGCTTCCCTGGTGGCCCAGATGGTAAACAATCCACCTGCAATACAGGAAACCCAGGTTCAGTCTCCGGGTCAGGAAGATCCTCTGGAGAAGAGAATGGCTACCCTCTCTAGTCCGTATTCTTGCCTGGGAAATCCCATGGACAGAGGAGCCTGGCAGGCTACAGTCCATGAGGTCACAAAGAGTTGGACACGAATGAGCAACTAACACTTTCACTTTCCACCCAGTAATGCCCATTTTATCATCACCAGTAAAGCTACAAGGAGTGTCCTGGCAGTCCAGTGATTAAGACTCCACACTGCTACTGCCAAGGCTCAGGTTCAGTCCCTGCTTGGAGAACTAAAATCCCATTAGCCACATAGTGCAGCCAAAAGAGCGGGGGGGAATACACACACACACACACACACACACACACATACAGGGCTGTAAAATTCATTTCTCCCTCTCTATCTCATGACCAACAACCTGATTCCAATCCTCATCACCTCCCACCTGATCAGTGCACCAACCTCATCACTGGTCTTTAAGCATCCAGCCTAGCTATGTCCCATTCATCTTTTACCCTATAGCCAGAGTGATTTTATATGTATCCATGTATAAAATTTTATCTCATATCTTTATTTATTTTGTATATTTATATAATTTATATACATTACAGAATATATATAATCATATATTTTATATATAAAATTATATATATATATATATATATATATATATTTGGCCATACCACGTGGCTTGTAGATCTTAGTTCCCTGACCAGGGATCAAACCCAGGTCCACGGCAGT